TCTGCTGATTGTCAGCTGCTGGCAGTTCAATTCTCACCAGCTCAAGTTGACCTTCCATCCTTCCGAAGTTGGTAAAATGAGGATCCAGATTGTTGGAGGCAAGGTGCTGACTCTGTAAACTGCTTAAAGACGGCTGTAAAGCACTGTGAAGCAGCATATAGGTCTGTTATTGCTATTGCTATTAACAACTTGTCCAGAAGATCCAACAAATTGTATTTTACAGAAAGAGTGATTAAATAAGAGTAAATTTTCACAGAATCCATGGGAAATATATTATTCTGTCTATAACCTCTAAGAAAAAGAAAAGGAAATGGGTCCCTGTGGATATAACCAACTATAGGGCATGGGGCTCATCTCTGTTTCAAGAGCTGTTGAGACAGTGGTCTCCGAAGACATTTCTGCGGTCATGAAGTCAGCATGACATCACAAAGCACTGTTTCCTCCCCATCAAAGTGATAACCTCTAACGAGCAAGTTAAAATGAGCCAAGATCATGGTGAATCTGATCATTCTATCAAGCATCTGCCTCTAAAAGCTTTGACCATTCTATTCTAGGTTCTAGAGCAGCATTGCTTGCAAATCAGCAGCAACAGGGATCTCATGCTTCAAGAATCCAATTTTTTCTTTTTTAAGTGAGGTTAACCACAAGTATTAATCATCTAACCACTCGTTCTGTTTCCTAGTTAGAAGAACCAATGTGCTGGGCGATGCACTTAATCTTAAATCAAAGAGCAGAGTCTTGTTGGACTTACACCCCAGATTTCTTTTATGGTTAAATAATTGATTCTTTTATCACTTTCCCTTGGAAATGGACCAGGTGGATGGTCTATTTACCAAACCCCCACAGCCATAGATTCATTAAAATGAGCTCTGTCTGTAGAAAACAAGAGAAAACCCAAGGTGGCATCTTGGCCTCTTACTGAAGAGGCATGTACTTTGTTTTGGTCAGTAACAGATGGTGTGAGTAGTTGTCTAATATTCAAAGGGCCCCTTTGGTCTGCAGGAAAATCTTGAGTGGTCAAAATGCCATTCAGTGAATGTTGTGTTTCATTTTATTCCTGATCACAATGATTATTACTTTCTATTCCTGGACTTTGTATTCTCCTCACTATGATGTCAGAAAAACAAACTAAACTTGGGAAGTTCTACTGGTTTCTCTTCCTGCCTGTTTTCTGTTTTTGCTTCGGAGCACCACTGTAAAAGTTTTGCAGCTTCTTGTCACTGCTACTTGAAGTTGCCATTTTAAAATTGTTTAGATCACGCCTCCCAGCTCTTCGAGGGACCCCGGAGTCAGGTCCCTGAGATGCACACGCCAACCAGCTTCCACGCATGACGAGCAGTGGCAACAACAGTCTCCCCACCCCCGGCGCCCACTGTTAGCTCTCCCATTAGTTCTCTAGCTTTGAATTGCTCCTGCCTCTCTTTCCTTCCCCCTCCCCTCCATGCCCACGTGCAGGCAAACAAGGAAAGGGAGATGGAGCAGTGCACAGCTCTCAGCTCCTCTAGCCCTTGCTGCCTCTCCCAACATCAAAGCCTCGGAGATGCAAGCAAAGCCACAGCAGTGGTAGCGCCCGAGTTGCCTTAGCATGCTCGGTTAGTTCAGAACCACCCTACCCAGAGAAGGAGGTGCTGGAGGAAGAGGAGGCAGTAGAGGAGAAGCAAGGAACCTGGTATGAGTTTGGTGGTCCCTAGGGTCCGAAAGGTTGGCGACTCCTGGTTTAGATAACTATCCTTGAGTGCAGGGGTGGGATTTAACAACTGGTTCTGTGGGCGTGGCTAAGTGGGTGTGGCTTTTTGTTTTGTTGTATTTCCCCCCCCCCATTTTTTGGGTCTTCTGGGCCTCAGGGAAACTTCGGGGGGGGGGGCGTTTTTTCTCCCAGAAGGTTTCCCTGGGGCTCAGAAAGAAAAAAAATGGAGCCTGGAGGGGGTGCATAGCAACCTTCCCACCCTCCATTTTGGGGCCTTCTGGGCCTCAGGGAAGCCTCCAAGGGGGGCATTTTTGCTCCCAAGAAGTTTCCCTGGGGCCCAGGAAGACAAAAAATGGAGCATGGAGTGTATGTTTGTGCTGCACCCCCCCCCCCTTGTTTTGCCTTCCTGGGCTTCAGGGAAGCCTCCTGGGCAAAGCAGTAAGACAGGAGGGGAATCCCGGCACAGCTGATCATAGGAACAGCTGATGGTCAGGAGGTAAAAAAAGAACCTTAAGGAGTGACTATGGTATGTGTGGATATAAAATACCTAATAATAGATAGAGGAGTAAATGGACCCCTCAGTGCCCCAGAAAGCTACCTTCTGTTCAAGATAAGCTAAACTTTTATTCCTGTTCCAAAGATATACAGTACCATACAATTGTACTAAGAAAAAAATTAAAAATGAATTATAAGAACAACATGAGTAAATTGACAGTTGTGAGAATGAACAGCTCCTTTTGCTTACCTCAAATGAGGATACATTTATCAATTGGTATTTAAAGTTTTGTCAAGGGAGGTGAACATGGCATATTTACCTGGACTTTGTCTTTTATTAAATATTAGAATTTTATCACAATTTTTCTTCACAAAATTGAGGAAAAAAGGTATAAAAAGCATTGGTTGGAAAAGCCTGGATTTTTCTGGTTTGGCAGACGTTCATGAAAATTGGAAATTGTACCTTTTTCTGTTAGCTAATGGAAAAAAATCTATACCAATCTTCTTGGATGACCTTTAATAAAGTCAGAACATTATTCTTTATAGAAGGGAATTTAGAAGGTAAAAAGAGTTTACTACACTGGTTTAGTAACCCCTTTAACACTGTTAAAAGAATTATGACTGATGACTGTAGAACTGGTCCTAACTAGAGATTTTAAAAAAAAAAAACTGAAAGAGAAATATACATAAAATATTAAAGCACTTTTCATATTTAAAAAAAACCCAATAACTTTTCACATTTATCCTTTAATTTTATGCTACTTGTTGACATGCAGTTATACTGTAAATTTCTATATTTATGTGTGCAGTTTGTTTCTTTTAAAAAAAGAAAATTATTGTAAAATGTTGACTACACATCTGCATTTGTTACAGGTGCTAATATACGCATACATGAAAGAAAGAACAAGAAAAACCTGCCATGCTATATTTCACATTATTTTTAAAAAACATAATGCAATTACCAGAAATCTGTAACAGATTCTGATAAGATCTTATTGCAAAATGTTTTAAATTATCAAAATGCTTTCTGAGGTAGAAATCCTGCTTTAGTCTGGCACTTTTTCCTGAGCTCTTACCCTAATGATATATGTTCAATTACTGCTGAAAAGAAAAGAATCAAATCAGAAACGTGTAGTTTGCCATATAATTACTGATTTTTCCCCATGGTGACTGACCTTTGTAAGACCAATACCAAGACCTGAAAGGCTAAAATGATAGATATTCACAAGGTTTAAAACATATAACATGATTACAAAGACTTAAAGCAGTCATGACATAGGCGTTCTTGCATTTTATGTCTGAGCCTAGAATGTAGTAGCTGGATTTATTCAAAATGAGGATAATTCACAAGCCACTGAAATGCAATGTTTTATTGTATAATAAAGGTAAACAGCACATTTGAACCTATTATACAGCCATTACTTCTACCTGCAATATCCATCTTTTCTAGGAAGTTTTTTTGTTAGTTTCATCTTTACATCAGCTTGTGATTTTTGTGTGTGAACACAAACAATAATGAAACCCATTTCAAACTCAGTGATCAAACCACTTTGTTTTCTTTTCAAGTCCCATTCCCTTTACTTTTTCATTTTTGTTATCTCTTGTTTATTGATCTAAACTGTCCATTACAGTTCTTTACAAAGGATCCTACTGTGAACTTTAGTAAAATACGCTCTAACACTCTCTGTTTATTTGCCAAAGAAAACAGCAATGGTATATTGAGGCCCTGTATTTAACGTCAGCAAACGCTTGCCAGCAAAACTTAACCAACTTGGCTACTAATCCCAAGAGAATACATAAAGACACAGGCACAGACATACACACAAATTAAATCTAAATAATTATTTTAAATCACTGCCTCTCTTTTAATGATAGCAACAGCAATAGCATTTAGACTTATATACCACTCCATAGTGCTTTACAGCACTGAGTGGTATACAATGTTGGCATATTGCCCCCAACAATCTGGGTCTGACCTTGGAAGGATGGAAGGCTGAGTCAATCTTGAGCCGGTCAGGATCAAACTCCAGACTGTGGACAGAGTTAGCCTGCAATACTGCATTCTAACCACTGCACCACCAGGGCTCTTAAAATGATAAAATTCTACTAAAATAAACAAGCTATGATTGCTTATGAATATTATGTAAAAGAATCTACATAATCCTCGACTTATGATCATTTGTTTAACAAACTTTTGAAGTTACGATGGTGTTGAAAAACATGATTTACAACGTGTTCTCGTGTTTACAATTATTGAACTGTTCCTTGGTCACATGATCAAAATTTGGTTGCTTAGCAACCTGTACATGTTTGCAACAGTTGCAGGTCCCAGAGTCATGTAATTACCATTTGAGACCTTCCAGAGATTTCCTACAAGGAAAGGCAAGTGGAAGCTGGATTTTGCTTAATGACTGCATGATTTGCTCAGCTACCACAGCAACAAAAGTTCATAAAATGGGACAAGACTCACTTAACAACAGCATTGCTTGGCAATAGAAGTTCCGGTTCTATTTTGGTTGTATGTCGAGGTCTACTTGTACTTTCTAATGGGTTGTTTCTTATGGCCTTTGCTGAGCAGGTCACTACCTTCCACTTCTAAAATTATTTCCTTTAGCAGACAAATTTATCATAAAATCCAACAACACTTTTCTAAGTAAAAGTATTTCCTTCTAAAACATGGATTATTCTGTTTCTTTTTTGCTAACAAATTACAAATATATTTCTATGCCTTTGTTCTTCAATGTTTCTATGCAAAAATATAAGTAACATATTTTACAGAATATTATTTTCCATGTTCTCTATATTCTGAAATGTTTACCTGGCTTTTCTGGGGTATTTTTTGCTTGTGAATTATAGGAGGTTTGATCGTTACAGGAAAATGATCTGTCTTCACAATCTTCTACAAAGTCTTTCAACACTGAAGTCTAAAGAAAAGAAATAAAACGGTATTTTAAAAAATATTCTGATATTTTTGCAGAATTATAATAGCAAATGCAAATTCTGAAATAAGCTTCTCTCAGCTCCTGCCTTAATATATTTTGAAACTAATTAACTAATATATATTGTAATATTTTTTCTGTGTGTGAGAATTCTGAAAATTGAGATCTCATTATTACTGCTTTTTTAGAAAGTGTACAATTCCCTCAAATCAACTGCTCATCAAAGACCTTATATGAACAAAATTCATTAGTTTTAGGTCTATGCAAATTGTTTGCAACAGCATGATTCCGAATCCGTTTCTTGATGTTGGGAAGCAGCTGAGAGATCATCCAGAAGAACTGCTTTGACAGCTGGACAGAATAAGAGTCACCCATGCATACACAGGCCTGTGCAGAATGTTCTGATGAAACAAACATACCACGTTTTCAAACAACTTCATCTACTCTGCGGGTTCATAGAGAACTTGAATAATGTGCATAGAACTAGCCCAGATCTGTAAAATGCTTGTTATGCATTGATACCAATGTCTGAGTCTGAACCTCATGAGAAGCCTGGATTATTCTGGTTTTCAGGTAAGTTAGTAGTAGCCTCAGAAAAAGGCAAAAACCAACAATTTCTGACAAAAGAGATGCAAGCAAATACAGCTATTTACTATCTCAACAAGATCTTCTTCAAAATGGATACAGTTCTGAAATAAAGTATTAGCCCCCTTGTATTTTCTGAACTGTTGCATATTATTGCAGAATGGCACCAAAAATGAGAGCAGGACTAATGATGTTACTAGTTGGGTGATAAAACATCTTGTCAGCTCTCCTGAATAAACCAGATAAGAAAAACAACTAGATGAGCTAATTTTAATTTATTATAAGGCTACATTGATAAAATCTTGCAAGTATGGAGGTATAAACTTCCCACTGCCACTTTTATTCCCCTGAACAATAAGGACAGAACCTTCCTAAGTTTTTTCCTGCCTCTTTTGTCTGATTGTTTTCTAGGCAGCATCTCATCTCCCAAGGCCATTCACACATTCTATTAGATGTCTGCAAACAAACAAAGAATCAACTTAAGAGAGCATCAAGCACTCCACTGAATATTGTAAGGATCTTATTGATAAATAAAAGGAGTGACTTGAGCACATTATAGTAAAGTTTGCTGCTTGTTTAATTTATTTCATAACAAAGTCATCTACTGAGCAATGTGCCTGTATGAAAAAAAAGCAACTGTTCAATCAGTGCCATTAAAATGATAACTGAGGCAGTTGTGTGGATAGTTTTTTAAACAATGAGGGCAAGGACAACCTTGCCTGATATAAGTCTCTCAAAATCTGGCTCCTTTTGCCCCAGTGATGTACTTACCACACAATGTATCATATCCCACTCAAAATGAATTTCTGAAGATATCTTCATTAATGATTTAGATGAGGGAATAGAAGGGGAACTCATCAAATTTTCAGATAATAGCCAACACCCCAGAGACAAGCTCAGGATCCAAAAAGATCTTGACAAACTTGAACAATGGGCCCTATCCAACAAAACTAATTTTAATGTGGAGAAAATCAAATTTTACATTTAGACAGGAAAAATCAAATGAGTACAGATTAGGTGAAACCTGGCTCAAAAATAGTTAACTGTGAGAGGGACCTTGGAGTCCTAGTGGATGATCACTTGAATAAGAGCCAGCAGTATGCCGCAGCAGCCAAAAAAGCTAATACAATCTTGGGGTGTATAAACAGAGGCATAGAATCAAGATCACATGAAATATTAATGCCTCTTTATAAAACCCTAGTAAGACCATACCTGGAATACTGCAACCAATTTTGGTCACCATAGTACAAATAAGATGTTGATACTTTGGAAAAAGTTCAAAGAGGAGCAATTAAGATGATCAAAGGCCTAGAAAATAAACCATATGAAGAACGGCTGCAGGTTTTGGGCTCACCTAGTCTAAAGAAAAGAAAAAATAATAAAGTAAAAAAGAAACTTTGATACCTACCACGGAAGAATGGTTGTAGAAGTTGATGGACAAAACTGACTACTCTGATTAAAGAAAAGAACATAAGTACTTTTGTTTCCATGTAGAAACAGCTTCTGAATTTCGTGTTTGATGTGGAAAAAATGTAATTTTGACTTTGGGTTTTATAGTTTTTCCCAAAACTATATGAAATAAGATGTATTCATCTCCTTAAGTTTTAGGAATTGTTTTATACTTTGCTTCAAATTAATGCATCAAAGCATTTTGACCAGTTATTGACTAGCAATTGGGACATTCATGTTTCAAAAAATAATCAGCAGCTGGTTGTCAAAAAAAAAACACAAAAAAACACCCTTTCTTTTTTTTTTTTAGAAAAAACTTTATTAATTTTACTTTTTTTAAAAAAACAACACAGCTACAAATTATATACAACAAAAAGACAAACAGGTCTTGGCATAGGCCAAGAGGGAAAAAGAGGAAGGCTTGAGAGAGGAAAGAGGGAAAGGTAGGGGAACGGGGGGAAAGAGTAGAGAAAACAATTATAATAAAACCATATTTTTGTGACTGTAAGGTCCTTTCTTCTTCAAAACTATCGTCGGCGGTGCTTTTCTTTATCTCTGCTTCGGAGGCCCTCAGCCTTAATTTTCCTAGAGGTGATCTATCTTTGGTTTAGCCAAATATACAAAGGATTCCAATTGCTATAATAGGTTGAGGATTCTTTATTTTTTAATGCTTGGGTTAGTTTGTCCATTTCGGCGCATTGTAAAATTTTCTGAATAACCATAAGTTCAGTGGGGATAGAGGGTAGTTTCCAGCACTGGGCAAATGCCAGTCTGGCCGCGGTTAAGATATGGATTGTAATATACTTCGATTTTTTGGATATTTGTTTATCAAAAATTCCTAGAAGGAAGGACTCTGGTTTGTACTCAATTTGTTCCTTGGTTATTTCCTCTAGCCAGTGCCTAATTTTTTGCCAGTACTTCTGGGTTTCCTTGCATGACCACCACATGTGGAAGAAGGTACCTTCTATGTTTTGACATTTCCAACATTTGGGGCTCGTGTTGGGGTGCATCTTCGCCAATCTCGAAGGGGGCAGGTGCCATCTATAAAACATTTTATATGAGTTTTCTTTATAAGCTGCTGATTTCGTGATCTTAATGTTCCTGTTCCAGTTCTTTTCCCATTCTGCTAGGGTAATGCTCCAACCCACGTTTCTGCTCCATGCAATCATATTTCCTTTGACAATTTCTTGTTCTAGTTCTGTTTCTAATAAATGTTTGTAAAATTTAGATATATTTTTTTTACTCGGTCCTAATAGAATTTTGTCTAGAGTCTGTAATTTATTGTAGATTCCAAATTCCTTGATGTCTTGTTTGTATCTACTATGAATTTGAAGATACACCCATTGATCAATTATAAATCCTCGCTCTTGTAATTCTTGTTGTGTTTTCAGCTTTCCTTGTGGGTCTAATAAATTTTCGTACTTAATCATTTTGGTTATGTCCAAATTATTAGGGTGTACTATCGCTTCCATTGGAGATAGCCAAATCGGTATTTTTAGATAAAGTTTTTTACATACTTTTTTCCAATTAGTTAATAAAGAGTCCCTGATAAGATGCCTATGGAAATATGATTGCCTGGGTTTCCCAGTTTCCCACAGAAAGGCATGCCATCCTTTCTGCATATTGTGGCCTTCTAATACTAGTGTTCTTTTGTTGGTTAGATTCACCCAATCCTTTATCCATAGTAGGGTGGCTGCCGTATGATATATTTCCCAGTTTGGCAGGGCTAACCCTCCTCTGCTTTTCGAATCTTGTAGGGCTTTTACGTTAATCCTAGCTTTTTTCCCCTGCCAAATAAATTTCAACGTTATCTTGTTTAGTTCCATAAAAAAACTTTTATTTAATTTGATTGGAATTGTCTGGAATAAATATAGAAATTTTGGCAGAATATTCATCTTAATCAAAGCAATCCTGCCCAATAAGGAAAGTTGTAATTTACTCCAGGAATCTAAGTCTTTCTTGGATTGTTGGAGAAGTTTGTCATAGTTGTTTTCTTTTAACGATTTGCTTTGTGGAGTTAGCCAAATTCCTAAGTATTTAATTTTTTTTGTCACCTGTATTCCCATTGTTGTCTCTAGCTCTTTATTCTGGTCTCCTGTTAAATTTTTAGTCATTAATTTCGTTTTTCCCCTGTTTATTTTAAATCCTGCGACTTCTCCAAATCGTTCTAGTTCTTCTAATAAGTTGTGTCCTTTTTCTATGGGTTCCTCCAGAAAAAAAACCAAATCATCAGCGAAAGCCTGTACTTTATACTCTTCTGATTTGATCCTCAGTCCTCTAATTCTCAAATTTTGCCTAATGTACGTCAGAAGATTCTAGGGCGAATATGAAAAGCAGAGGGGAGAGAGGGCAACCCTGTCTTACCCCTTTTTCTATTTTTATCGGGCCAGTTTGTTCCCCATTTATTAGAATATTTGCCTGTTGAGTGTGGTAAATTGTAGTGATGACGTTTTCGAATCTGGTGCCGAGGTTCATATTATATATTTTTTGAATTAAGAAATGCCAATTTAAATTGTCGAATGCTTTTTCAGCATCCAAAAACATAAATGCAAATTGTTTTTCCAGATGGGCTTCATAGTATTCTGAAATGTCTATCACTGTTCTTAAATTATTCTTAATTTGTCGAAATGGGAGAAACCCATTTTGATCTTCATGGATATAAGTGTTTAAAACCTGTTTTAATCTACTGGCTATTATAGAAGAGAATAGTTTGTAATCTGCATTCAGGAGCGAAATTGGTCTATAATTATTAAGAAGTCTGTGGTCTAGGTCCTCCTTCGGGATCAGCGAAATTAAGGCTCCCCTCCACGAGTTCGGCATCTTGGCTGCTAAGAGTACCTCATTAAATACATCCAGCATCAGTGGTCCAATTTGTTCTATGATTGTTTTGTAAAGTTCTACCGGTATCCCATCCGGTCCTGGTGCTTTATTGTTACTTTGCTTCTCTATTGCTGACTTCAGTTCGGACCATGTTATATTTTGGTTTAATAATTCTATCTCTTCCTCTCCAATTGCTTTATCATTCGCTTCCTCCAGGTATTTCATTATTTTATCCTCACAGACTACTTCTTTTTTGTATAATTTCCCGAAGTATTTAAAAGTGATCTCTTTTTTCTTCTCTATCTCCTCTTGCATATTGCCCCCCTCGTCCATTAATTGGTGTATCAATCTTTTTTCTTTCGTTTTCTTAAGTTTGTGGGCTAACCATCTCCCTGGCTTGTTTGCATGCTCAAAGTAGATTTGTTTAGTCATTTTCAGACTAATCTCCAATTTTTCTTGTTCCAGTAAATTTAGTTTGTGTTTAGTTGTTGTTAACTGGTTCTGTATTCTTTGGTTTTTGGGGTTCTTTTGTAGTTGGGTTTCTAAATCCTTAATTTCTTGTTGTAGGTTACTTTGTTGAGCATACTTTCTTTTATTTCTCATAGCATTGTAAGAGATTGTTATTCCTCTTATAAATGCCTTTAATGTGTCCCATATATTTTGTTTCGAAGTTAGATCATTATTATTTTCCTTTAAGAAGAAGGCTTCCGGTGGCAGGACAGGGACGTCCAGAGGTGGGGAAGCCCAGCTGTGGCTTTCAAACACCTCTTCTCACGTTTGGAGGGATCCCCAGTGGATACACGAAACCCGTAGAGCTTCGTGTCAGAATAGAGGACCCCCGGGTTGCTGTTTGGGGGAAGGCAACTCCCCAGCAACGAAGGAAGAGCCTCTGAGACCAGCGCGATTGAGCCAGCTGCCAGCTAATGGTGGCTCCAAAGTCCGGTCTGTCACTGAACTGACGAAGCAAAAAGTGACAGCCTGAAGGATCTGAGCAGAAAAGGGCAGAAGGACTACAAAAGCCGTGAAAGAGATCGGTCTGACTCTCCCTGTTTCATTGTGAGTAACAGTGGGGGAAGCTGGAGACAAGCGGCTAGAAAAGCAGTTTGAAAAGTGAAAGGGGGATAAATGTGGATAGAGTGGCTCGACACTTAAAGTGAAAGTGTGGATTGGAGCGTTTGGAAGAAGATTGCCGAGGAGAGAAAAAGGCGGTGGGAAATTTAAGAAGCTTGGGAGTGGATTGCCATCTGGGATCAGTGCCTGAGAAGACTAGAAGACTAGGAGAGGATTATAGCTGCGAAGGAGGGCAGAGCGAGCGGTAGAGAGCCAGATAGCGACGCACTGACTTTTATATGCAAGGTCCTTTCCTTTTAGCATCATTGCCTACAAAACTGATTTCTAAAGTGATCGATCTGAGGCGGACGCCCAAAGTGACTGTGGACTGACAATTGCTGGTAGAAGGGAAGAAGAAGAGGGAAGAAGAAGGAGGAAGAGACAGACGGAAACCTGGCAAAGACTGATCGCTGAGCGCTTCCTCCCCCTGCTCCCTTGGTGCGCCCAGGAGGAAAGACTATAAGACTAAAACGCCAGCCCCAACTCAGACTTGTTTTTCCATGGAACTAATCCCACAAATACGTGCCTAGTGATTCCCTAAAATTGAAAAGACCCTTTTCCTCCTGCACTCTTTCTCTCTCTCCCTTTCTCTTTTGGTCTTTCCTTTCTTTCTATAATAGTTATAAATACAAGTATAAAGGCAAACTGCTTGTTATAGTTATTAGGGTTTACTGATGAGACTCTCTTGGATATATAAAAATTTTAAGGTCTGTTAAATAGGGTTGTCTCAGATGAAATGGAACCTTAAATATTAATATACATTATAGGACAAAGGTATATATAGAGTGAGAAATTCTAGAGTTGGTTGTTTGCTTTAAACAAGTTTGATTTGATATGGTAATGATTTATTAGGGGTAAAATACAATTAACTCTGGTATATGAACTTAATATAGAGAATAATACATAATACATAATATTTGATTACACTCTATTGTATAGCATCTATTGTATAGTATTGTATAGTATCTGATAACACTCTATCGAATTGGAATTTAACTTGCCTGAATGACAGATTGGGCCGAAGAAAGAGATCTAAAATAACTTGGTGTGTAAGCTTAGCAAATAGACTTGTAATCACACTTAAAGGGCTATTACATCGAATGGTGATTTGGGATAATATTCTTAACATTGTCCAATTGCAAAAACAAATCTTATCAGAGATGACTTCCACAACAACCACGGCCCTGAAAACGGGAAGGAAGAACACCCAGACCTTGATGACAACTTTGGCAACTGCCTCCCCAACAACGCAGAAAACTATAGAAGAGACCTTGACAGGAGAAAAACAACCAACTGTCACTAATGCCAATCTACAAGCGACATTATTATCCCTGCAAGAATCAATGTCTAGAATGCAGGAGATTATGATTAGGAATCACAATGAGACCAGAGCTGATATTAGCGAACTGAAGGAAGAAATGGGTAAATTAAAAGAGGAGATGAGAGCAGATATACAGAGAGTTGAAGATAAGGTTGGGACAATGCAATTGGCCATGGAAAGAACTGAATTAAAAATAAAAGAAATAGAGAGGAGGACAGAACAAGCGGAGAGGAACCTAGAAAGGACTGAGGAAGACTTTAAAAATGTTAATAGAGAAATGGAAGATTCCTTGGTCCAACTTGAGATGGACAGAGCAGCTGCATACCTAAGGTTCCAAAACATGGAGGAATCCAAAAATGAAGAACTAGAACAATTAATGGCAGGTTTGTTGGCTGAACTAGTTGAAAAAGAGAAAGATGACTTACTCAAAGAATTCGATGAAATCTATAGGGTGAACACCAGTTATGCAAGGCGTCACAATTGCCCAAGGGAGATCCATATCCGCTTTTCAAGAAGACGCGTGAGAGACCTAATACTTAGAAAGGCCAGAGATGAGAGAATATTATATAAGGGCAAAGAGATCATAATTCTTAAGCAGATTCCAAGAAAAGTGAGGGCCATAAGGCAAGAATATAAATTTTTAGCCAATTACTCAAGTAAAAACGAAATCTCATTCAAATGGCTAATCCCAGAAGGGATGCTAATATCGTGGAAGGGAAGAAAAATTAAAATAGATTCAATAGAACAAGCACAAAACTTCCTAGAACAGCTAACAACCACGGAGGATCAACACACTAGAGAGGAAACCCAAAGGAACATGCAGGAAGATCGTAACCGCCATAGGAACAAAGAAGAAAGATCTGTCCAAACTCAAGGGAAAGACAACTTACAACGAGAAAGAGAAGAAACAACCCCATATCAATCACAAGAAGAGAGCCGTATAGTTACGAGACAAAAAGCGAGGCAGACTTAAGTAAATGGACGAAGGAAGGAAAATTCTTTCCATCAATATAAACGGCCTAAATTCAAGAGCTAAAAGGAAAAGGATTCTAACCAAACTAATAAAACAAAATGTTGATATAATTTGCATACAAGAAACACACATTAGGAAAAGTGAGGAGAAATTCCTAGATTGTCCGAAACTGGGAAAATTATTTACAGCACCAGCAGATAAACACAAAAAGAAAGGTATTGCAATCTATGTGAGAGATGACTTAAAAGCGGAGTTAATCTGGGCGGACCCTGAAGGAAGAACTCTGGTGGTACAAATCTCGATTAATGGCATTACATTTTTACTGGTAGTAAACCACCCTTTCAGCAAGCACATTACCTGGTCTATATTTAAAATTACTGCTATACACACAGAGATATAATTCCGTCATCTGAAAATCATTCACCAGGTATCATTCCCTGGCATTACCCAAACACACAAGAAGTTAGGTAACATACTGACCGGGGTTTCTTGTTTATGACTCTCCAAAATCAATAGGGTACCAAACATGTCTTTCACTTCTTGTCTGAGTAAAATGTGATACTTTTGCAAGAATAAGATATGTTTGCTTAAACGTTCCCAAATCTTAGTAAAATCAGATACCAATTCAGATCTAGACAAAAGAGGAAAAAAAATTTTCATTTAAAATGCTCCAAGATCAGATAGGTTGGCATGAGATATTGTTTATACAGAACTTAAATATGGAATAATTCCAGAGTGACAAACTTTTTTCTTTCTGCTCTCATCAGCCCAGGGGGCTGGAATCAATTGAGAACAGATTCTTTTTGATTTTAATATGTTTGATCTCTTATTGGATCTTATCTTTATTTCTTTTATTAAACTATATTGTTTTTGCTAAAATAACTTTTTCCGATATATATTAATTATAGATAAATGAAATTAGATTGATTAGGTCATTGAGATGTTTTGTGCTTTTACTGTGGTTCCTCCCCCCCCCCCCCCAAAAAAAAAATCTTTGTGTGTTATGGTGTAAATTGACAAGATTCACCTTCTGAGTTTGATGGAATATAATAAATACAATGCACACAAAAAAGGCCACATTTAGCAAAAACTGAACTCAGAATTTCGCCATTCACTTAATGGCCATGTAATCCAGTTGTGCAATCTGTAGTTGATTTATTGTATCTTTTGATGTCTTCTCAAGAGTCCTAATATTAGCTTTTCAAGGCAGTCCAGGCCAGAAGCACAACCAGGAGTATCAGCATGATCTTTAGTGTAAGATTACACCGAATAGAATCTTACAAGTCTGAAAATATTTCTCCCATCCACTCTTTTTAGTCACCAGAACACGAAAGGGGGTCTCTTTTGAAACACTCCCCGTGTTTTTCCCCCACCTGCAGACTGAGCTGCCTCTTATGCAATGTTGTCTAAGCTGTGGATCTTTCTCCTGTCTCCCAAGGTCATTCCCACATCCCATCACACCTGAGAACATTATTCATTAGGATAGTTTGATACATTACTTTGGATTCAATATATAATTCAAATGACTAGAAATATATTTTATCCTAAAAAAGTTTAACAATTTTTAAGGAGGGAATTGAAACTAGTTCTTATAGAACATTCAGACAGAAGCAAATATATAGAAAAATGAATTCAAACTAATTCAGGAACATGGATAGATGGAGGACTAATAAGCTAAACTCATTCAAGAGTCAAAGCTCAACAGCTAAATCTCAAATTCATTCTCATTTTATCTATTAGTGAGTATGAGACAATAATAATGTTGGATCACGTCAAATGTATTAGACTTTTGTAATCAGTTCTCTCTCCTGCATTTTGTTACTATTTATTTCAATCTAAATGACCACCCAACTCTAGGCAGATAACAATATTAAAAGAAAACAGCAAAAACAAAACAAAAAGCACAGAAATAGCCTAGATTAAAAAAAGATTCCTTAATTAAAAATGAACATAATCAATGTACAGGCTCAGCCTCACCTCTTGCAGCCCCTCCCCCCATTCTTTATTACAAAATTACAGGTAGTCTTTGCTTAGGACCATTGATATAGCAACAATGAGACTTTCAGTTTGTCCTCAAAGTTTTAGCCATCGCAACATCCCAGTCACATGACCATGATTCATACAATTATGGCAGTCAGGGTATCCCATAGTCATGTTTGCCACTTGTGACCTTTGTTGCCAGTTTCCAACAAGCAGTGAGGAAATTGGTAGGAAATTGTAAGTCACAGTCATGTGACATCACATGACAACCAAACACAATTTGTTTAAGAACCACAACCAGAATTGCTGGAACTGTTGTCATAAATTTGCATGGTCCCATGATTTTTATTTTATGACTACAATGGAGTTCCTTGTCCGAAGGAACTCGTAAATTATCAGCTGGAGCTTGAGCAGATAATCCAGAAATGAAAGTGACTAAAATTTGGAAATCTGAAGACGTAGAAAACCAATTAGGACAGAATCTCTGAAATATTTATTGTTAATCAAATGTATATGATCATCTATCATACAGAGACAACTCTTGGCAGCATACCACAATCCAAATTTCCTTACCTCAGCTCCTGCCTGTGCTATCTCTTGTCATGTAAACTAAACTCCTCCCATTTCTGTTTCTCACGATTTCTCACATGAGTCTATTTGAGGGGAATTATATGTGCATTAATGTATTTGAGGGAGTTTTAGGTGTTAAGAGTTGTGGGCTAGTAATACAGTATGTGTATGTGTGTTTATTTATGCACATGCTGACAGATGCACTACCAAAAGCTTTTAGTATTTTTAGTATTTATTTGATTTGTCAATCGCTTACAAGATACAGGTATAAGAATAAACATAGTTTTGAATACTTTAGATACTTACAAGAAAAATAAAAAAACAATAGGACTGGGACAGTAGGCACGATTGATGCGCTTATGCACGCCCCCTACAAGCCTCTTAGGAAGGGGGTGAAGTCAACAGTAGACAGTCAAAGGTTAAAGTTTTTGGGTTTGGGGGAAGAAACCACAGAGTCAGGTAGAATATTCCAAACATTGACCACTCTGTTGCTGAAGTCGCATTTTCTGCAGTCAAGTTTGGTGTGGTTAACCTTGAGTTTTTATCTATTATGTACTCTTGTATTGTTATGATTGAAGCTGAAATATTCATTTGCAGGTAGGACATTGCAATGTATGATTTTATATACTATATTTAGATCAGACCAGAGGTGGCGTAGTTCTAGCTTTTCTAGGTCTAGAGTTTCAAGTCTGGTGGGATAAGGTATTCTGCAATGAGTAGAGGAGCAGAGAACTCTTCTTGTGAAATATTTCTGGACTTTTTCAATTATGTTAATATCAGATACATGATATGGGTTCCAGACTGATGAGCTGTATTCAAGTATAGGTCTAGCAAATGTTTTGTATGCTTTAGTTAGTGTGATATTACCGGAGAAGAAGCTACGTAGGATTAGATTAACAACTCTTAATGCCTTTTTGGCTATGTAGTTAGAGTGGGCTCTAGCACTTAGATCATTTGAGATGAGTACTCCAAGGTCCTTGACAAAGTTTGGATCCTCAACAAGGTCTTGACTATTTAGCTTGTGTTTTATTTTCTGATTTTTTTCTGCCAATATGTAAGACAAAGCATTTATTTGTTGAGATTTGAAGTTGCCATTTGATTGACCATTCTGATATAGTCAAGGTCTTTTTGGAGGGAAGTAGTATTGTCTGTGGCGTTGAATAGCTTTACATCATCAGCGAAGAGAACGCAGTTGCTCTTAATATGATCACAGATGTCATTTATGTAGAGTATGAAGAGAGTTGGTCCTAAAACACTGCCTTGGGGGACACCACTGTTGACAGGTACAGAATTTGATCGGATGCTCCCAATTTTGACCATTTGTTGTCTGTTTGACAGGAATGCTTCTATCCAGTTATGTATGTGTCCAGAGATACCATAAGATTTTAGTTTTAGGAGTAATTTGTCGTGTACACTGAATCAAAGGCTTACATGGTAGTTTTTTCCTATAACCAAATTGTTTATTGGAGAGTAGGTTGTTTATTTCTAAGTGGAGGATGATGGATTGGTTAATAATTGATTCCATGACTTTATAGGTGACGCAGCATAAAGAGATTGGTCTGTAATTTTCAACTAGGCTGGGGTCTCCCTTTTTGAAGATGAGGATGACCGTGGCTTGTGACCATAGTTTTGGCAAGGAGTTGGTCCTGAAAGATTTTTCAAAGATTATGCTTAGAGGTTCGGCTATGGCAGTGGATAGCTTTTTTAAGAAGTAGGCACATATTCCGTCCGGTCCAATAGATAGGGATGGTTTTAGATTCCACAGTGCTTTTTCAACAATGTCTTCTGTAAAATTGATATGTATTAGATCATTGTATTTGTCTGTGGTTTGACTAGAAAGTACTGGGCTTGGTCCATTGCTGTTTACAAATACTGAGCCAAAGAATGTGTTAAAGAGGTTTGCTTTGATGGTGTCGTTGTTGCAGTCTTTGCCATTAGGTCCTTTCAGGGGTGGGATGGACCTTGAGTCTTTTAGTTTGTTGTTTATAAAATTGTAGAAAGCATGGGTGGAATTTGTGCATAGAAGGTTTTCCTCTTGTTTAATGTGATAATTATGTATACAGTGGCATAGATTTTTGTATCAGCTTTTGAAGTTGGCAACATGACCAGATTTGTTTTTTTCACTTTTTGGATTGAAGCTTCCTTATTGTTATGGGTAATCTGTTTTTCCTGGTTTGGGGAGTTGTTATTGGTACATATAGTTTGATGGCTCTTTTGATTTCTAGTAAGAATATGTTGTAATGGTCTTCAACAGTATTTCATCCAGTGAATAGAAATTGCCAATCAAGGGAAGAGAGATAGTTGATTATAAGATCATAGTTGCCTTTTTATAATTGGGGATTTTGTCATTGTGATGATTTTTGTGTGGACGTATGTTGAGACAAAAGTCAATCATGTTGTGGTCACTGTTGGAAAAGGGTTCTTTAATTTGTATTCCGTAAATTGAATTCAAACTATTGCAGAAGATGAGATCGAGGCAGTTGTTAAGCCTAGTATTGTTGGTTACTAGTTGTTCCAGTCCCAGATTTGTTACAGCATTGTAGAAGATTGCATGTATTGGTTCAGTTGTACATTCGTTTAGGGTCCAGTTAATATGAGGTAGATTGAAGTCACCAGGAAAGATAAAAGCATGTGGGCAGGATGCTGCCCATGTTAGTAGTGTATTTAGCTTGTTTACGTTCGATGTCATAATCGGGGGCTCTGTAACATTATAAGAACCGAAATGTGATATTTAAGGTCAGTTCACAGATAATATCTCAGGAAGAGCAAGCTCTTGGGTAACTTGGATGTTTTTTAGATGTAAGGACTTTTTATAGAAGATAGCAACACCTCCTCCTCTATGGATTTCACGATCGGATCGGTAAACATGATACTCTTACTGAGGTAATGGAGTCAGGGAGAGATTCATTGAGCCATGTCTCACAGACAAATATGATGTCAAATTTAGCCGTATTTAGTAACAGGAGAAATTCAGGTATTTTATTTACCTGGCTTCTTGCATTGAGTAGCTTGCATTTAAGGCCAGTTGTAGTTTGAATTGAGGTAGTTGGAGCATGCGTGCCTAGTCTTGGATGATGGTGGATTGGTTGAAGGAGGTTTGGAAGCTGAGTTGTGGGTTGTGTGACTTTCTTTTTATACAGTCTGCATGGTAATCAATGTACAAGTCCTTCTCTCCATTGTCTAGACAATTTTTGAGTTCAGTGCGTAGTATACGGGAGCAGGCACGTTGCTGTAAGGTTAGGTCAGGGACGAGATCGGAGGTTTTTATGGTTGGTGTTGTTTTTGGTGAGTGAATTTATAGTATAAATGAATTTACGTTTGCTTAATTCATTTTTGCAAATGACTCTGCAGAAGCGTGGGGCCATAGAGCCGTCTCTGTAATTTTATCAACTTCAAAAATTTATTAAAATTTATTATGATAAAAATTAGATTAAGCCTAAGTTAACACTTTATGTCAGGCCTGTCAAACTGGTGACCCATGGACCGGATACATCATGCACAGGCCACGCCCACCTTGGCTCTGCAAAGGCAAAAAGCATCATGTCACGTGATGCGATCAAGTTTGACACCCATGCTTTATGTATTCTCAGACATGCAAATGCTGCGTAAGCCTTGGTGTTAGCTGTTGCTCTGCTTATTATCTAGTTTTCTTTTTCCTACTTATCTCTTTCCTTTTAAAGCTCCTATTCTATACATTCTTACCTGGGAATAATTCAGTGAGACTTACATCAAAGTAAACATGTACAGGATTTTTCTATAAAACATCTTTAATTTCTATATTTTGAATAGTTAAACTATAACCTGATGCCTGCAACTCTTGAAGTGCTTTGATTTCATATCCTATACAGCATGTGACTTATAATGATGACTCTGTGGACATTAAGTGATCATACCTGCTTTGTTCTTCATTCAGTCTTTCCCTTTTGTCATTAAGCATTTTATCTTGTAAAAGGCACCCATTCATTGTATTTTGCAATAATTTTTGAAGTTGATAAAGGACAAGCGCTTCACATGTCTCGAAGTTTTCTTGTGCCAAGTTGTCACCTTTATTACAGAGGCTATAAACAAAAACAGATATTTAAAAACAAGTAATTATATTTTATTTTTATCAATGAAATTTAAAACACTATTAATATATTGATCAAATATATTAATATTTGGTCAAAGTGTATACATACACCAACTTTTTCACCTGTAGCATCCTGACAACTAAAGAAACTTCTTTGATTCCACATCTGATAATTGATATTTTACCCAGCTGAAATCATAGAAATTACTGTGATACACAGTTGGGTAAAATGAAAGTCTTTGATGAAGAATGTGATAGGCCATTTAGGAAGTCCTTTTTCATAGTTAGCATTTCTGCTTCAAGATTTGAGCTCACTACCTCAAGGTAACATATGCTAAAGCTAAAATATGAGCCTGCAATGCCAACTTTGTCAAGTGTGAAGAATATATACGTAATTCTTTTAACAAGGAAGAAAGAGAAAAAAACGAGTCCTGGATTAGGGTGTGGCCAATAAGAACAGTCTGGATCTGACTTGCAATCTACCAAAATAAATCAGAATAATGAGGAATCAATGACTTTAAAACAATCAAATTGTTCCCACAACACTGTTATAAAGAGATCTTAGCCACAGATTACTAAAGTAAGAATGACTATTCCAAAAAGAATATTTATCTTAAATAGAAGGCAAAGTTACTAAGTGTTATAGAGAGCTCCCAAATTTGGGAGGGAAGTGAAAGGTGCCACACTAAGTCTGTGGTTTCCTATCTTCCTCCAGTTTAACAAAATCTTAACTTTCTCCAAAATCAATAATAATTACATGTGCTGAAAAGGCTCTTTTGAGAAATCTAATCAGTTGAACTCCATTTAATATGAACCCTGAAATACTGTACACTATGCATGCCTCATTGTTCAAACATCTCCTTTACATTATTCTTCTAAACAGACCAATTGGAAATGAGAACAATCCAGGATTTTTGTGGTGGAACATTAATCTGAAATAAATTCAAATGAAGTTATTAAAGCCACAATCCAAATAGATAGGTAGCATTCTCACATTTCACATTAAATGAAAATAGCCATTGACCTTATAAGCTTCTTTAGTTCTGCTGTATTAGCAGTTCCTCTCTGGTATAATGCCGAGCATCCAGAAGGTACTTTAGCCACTAGTTCTTCTATGAAAGTTAAGACATGACAAAATCCTTCAAATGACAGACATTCCCTGCAGAAATAAGAAAAAATGCATTTCATTCAGTAGCAAGAACACATTGTTTAACAATCTACTAAAATGTTTTTATTAAAATAGGGCATATTAATTTAAATGGGGAAGTAGAAGCACTTTTGCTGTATTTCATTATATATTTATAACACACACACGCACACAGTGGACCAATTGGAAATGAGAATAATCCAGGATTTATATATATATATGCCTTCTCTGAAGCGCTGAGCTATTTCACCTTTTTCTTTCCCCTTTTTTGGTGACATTTAGATAGGGATACAACAGTGTGATAAATGTTGTATGTATGAGGGTTTATCTTCACAAGCAGCAATCAACAAAGCAGAGATAAGAAATTTGCAATGTGAAGCTGGCATCATATATATTGGGTATCCTTAAATGTCAAAGGAAAAAGAAAAAGAATGAGACATACAAACCTGTATCAACCATAGCTCAAGTTTTCACATCAGGATTGTATACTATAAGTTTGCAGAATGCATGTAACTAGTAAAACACTGTCCTGGTTTGGTGTATAAAACATGAGTCTGTTCTGCTAGACTATTGTAGCAGAAGTAATTTATCATATAATGTTTATTTCTATCTATAACGTGATTAGCAAAGAAACTTAATAAATTTTAGGGCCAAATTTGGCCAATAGTGCAATGACATTGCAAACTTTGGTTAAAGCAACTCAGTATTTGGCTATTTCTAATGTGAAACAACCAAAAAGTATGACAACTCTATGAATGGAAAAAGCTAATGGATTCCTACAGGTGGAAAACATAACTATGATTTATGGGAAATAATAATAATGGGATACCTCTATAATGATGCAAATTAAGATTTAAGCATTTTAACAATGGAGTACTGCTAATCCTTTTACAGACCTGTAAATAGCTGTTCAGATTTTTATTTCAGTCTGCCAGCTTTGTTCCAGCAAAACTCTATAAAGCAAACACACAGCTGGCCTATAAATATAGTACAAAAACAATATTCAGAGATCCCACCCAGCTTCTAAAATATTTATAACTTTAATGCATAGTGTGCATGATTCACACAGCTCTGTAAAATATTTAAGTTACTGAAAATGATTGCAGTGCATTCCCATAATAGTAATGGTGAACACTGAAAATATGAAGGTGGTGTGAGAGCGAAGTTTTGAGTTTTAAACTAATACACACTGAACCAGTAAGAACACACAGGCAGTTCAACGGGGCTTTTCACTGCACTGAAGTCTTACAAAATCTCTATTTCAGCTAGGTCATTCCCTATTGTGCTCCTCCCTCTGGGTGGTCTTTCCAGGGTGCCACTTGAAGGGAATACATTAATAAAAAGAAGGGGAAGGAAAGGACACATAAATAAAGAAAAGCAAAATGGATGACATGATGCAGCAGGGTATGGATCAGGGGTCAGCAAACAAGGGGTCTTTCTCTTTACAGGTTGCTTCCTGGAAACAGCCTGATTAAGCTGACAGCTTGAATTATGTGTTACATTTTGTAATGCACAATCCATCTGTGCTAAGTCCTCTTGAATGCAGCTGAAGCAACACAAGCAAAAGGTCTCAGCCTTGTTCCTTCTTAAACCTAAGCTTGAAATACTCATTATTTTCCTAAGTGCTAAGTCGAAGAGTCTGGACTTGCTAAGGTTCTAAATGAAGCACAGGTTAGTGATGGGAACCAACAAAGCGCAAAAAAGATTCTTCCTTAGTTTGATAATACTGACACATCAAAAATTTTGAAAGATCATACGCTATTTAATAGATTATTTGTTGATTTATTTCCCATGTTAGAAGTATCAATATTAATAGGCTTAAGTAGTCTAGTTCAATGCCAAATTGCAATCTTAAATAGTACCGACGGGGGATGCATATTTATGATATATAAAATTATAATAACTTACATAAGTGTTACTGTCACTTGCAACAGCACACCATTTCAATTAACACAGAGACAATATAATAAAGGCTATACAGGTAGTCCTTGACTTATGATCACAATAGGGACCAGAATTTTCAGTGCTAAGCAAGATGGTTGTTTAGTGACTTGTAATCAATTTTAGAACTTTTTAGCCATGATTGTTAAGCAAATCACTACAGTTGTGAAGCAAATTACATGGCTTTTAAGCAAATCTGACTTCTTCCATTGACTTTGCTTGTCAAAGTCTGGTTGGGAAGGTCACAAATGGTGATCACATGATCCCAGGATGCTGCAGCCATTGTAAATACTTGTTACACTTGTTGCAAATGCCTGAATTTTGATGCGAGGACCAGTCATTAAGTCCCTTTTTCAATGCTGTTATAACTTTGAACAGTTGCTAAATGAATGGTTGTAAATTGAGGACTACCTGTATATAATAAAAGCTACATATATAAAGGTGTTGTTTTTATTGCTAAGTGATATCTAGCAAAATCTAAAATACTAATTGAACTATGTTTTTAACATCATGAAAATTAATCAATTCTTTAATTACGTTCAATCTTACTTCATAAATACATTTATTTATTCTATTTACATCTTGCTGCAATCTAAAGTGACTCTTGGCATGTCTGTCACAATGATTCAATTATAATAAAAGAAATTTAACTAAGATTTAAGGAAGATGACATCCTGTAGTGTACACTATTAATATTTTCAACTCTCTCATAACAAATCAGAAGTTGCTTGTCAAAACATTATCCTGCAAACAAAATTTAAAAGGATGAGAAAAGAATAAATATAACTAGCAAGTAATTATAAAGTATAAAAATATACAATAGCTACATATTGTATTCATATTCATATCAGTTCTAAATATATTTAATTGCTCAGATTTAATGTAAGCTGATGTTATGAAATAAAAATGTATTGTTTTAAAATACTGGTTCTAGAAAATGTATAAACAGCAGTTAGAATAAAGACAGAGAAACTATTATTATACAGGGGAGTTAGGGTACAGGTATTTAAAAATACCCAATAAAACAAACAAAGGACAAATATGACTATTATCTGCATAAAGATTCAGAATCTTTATAGATAGAAAAGCACTATCTCAACCCACCCCAACTGGAAGACTATCTGAGTAGTTGTGTTAAGCTGAATTTAGGAAACTAAGATCATTTTAATCTTAATATCTCTTTGCCACAACTAATTTTGGTATTTCTTTGCTACTTTGAACTGTTTTCTATACGGTACAGAGCAAAAACAGATTAGTTGTTCATGATAGTACCGTATCTGCTAAAAGTGAAAATGTTAACATGAGAGACTGGGATTTACTATATTGGATGACACCTTGAATTAAATAGGCAGGCATACTTTCATTACACTGATCAATAGGAAGAAAAACATCCATACCCGTTGAAAGGAATGGATACTATATGGCATATATCATCTCTTATAAGGAATATATATCTATCCTGTGCAATCACCTAGAGCAGTGGTCGCCAACCAGTGGGCCAGGGACCACTGGTAGTCCACAAGAAAATTTTGGTGGTCCACAGAGAAATGTCACCCACAAAGCACCCCACAAAGCAATTAATCCAGGCTGTGTGGGAACACAAGGCTATGCCGCCCACATGGCCTGCGGGAACACAAGACTTGCACTGCTTGCATAGCAAACAACACAAGGTAGTTAAGGGGAGGGGGAAGGGCGAAGGGGGTAACTTGCCCTACTTGCCTGGCCTGGCCACTGGGCTGCTTCTTTGCTTCTTTCTTTTGGTTGCACACAAGGAAAACAGCAAAAGTCCTTTCTCTCCCCCAAACTCAGCCAGAAATGAGTCTTTGGAACCCTGCAAGGCATGGATGCTCCAAGAGGCTGTGCTGGTGCGACAAGTCTCACAAAGACTCATTTCTGGCAGAGTTTGGGTGAGAGAAAGAAAGACTTCTGCTGCTTTCCTTGCATGAAGCCAAAAGTCTCTCCCCCCCCCCCCCCCCGAGAACGGAGCTGGAGACAGTACCTGTGATCCCAAATAAAGAATGATCAGTTGGTAGGAAAACGGGGTGGGGAATTTTCCTGCAGACTTTTTTTGGGATTTCCCCAGGGTCCCTGGTCTGCGGGATTTAAAATTATGAGTTTGGTGGTCCCTGAGGTCCAAAAGGTCGGTGTCCCCTGATCTAGAGGACATACCAACAATACTAGCTGTGGTGCAAAGTGAGGAAAACAGCAGCCAGAAGACGGACCTTCTCAGTGATTGCCCCTACATTTTGAAATATACTCCCAGAGATACACCTAGTCAATCATCAACATTTTTTTTAGCATTTATTTCTTTAAATAAGTATTTACCAATTAATACTAAATGTTGGATCATCTTGATGTTAGTCTTATACTACTATTATTGTTTAACTTATATTTTAATTTTTAATTGTGAGGTATGTTTTTAGTCACCTCTTTTATTATTACTGTACACTACTCAAAATTGTAGAATAAGCAGATATAAAAATTAACCATACAAATACAAATGAACGTTACTGGTTTAGTTTTACCTTAGTTTGGGGTCAGAAGATGAGTGCTCAGTTGAAATTTTTCTTTGAAAATATTCTTCATTATTACATATTATGTCATCAAGTTTGTAATCTGTACTGTTTATATTTCGTTGTAATTTCAAAGAATTCGATTCCTCTTCCTCCTCACTCAATGAAACAGTAAGATCAGTGCTGCTACTTAAACTTTTATCTTCCTCCTGCAGTATATTTTTGTCCAAGTGAATGGTGCTCCCCAAAACTGTAACAAAAATGTTTTTAATGATTAAATCTAAATATTTATTTCTAAGCAATTATAATAATGTCCTGGACCTATCTAGATTATTATTATTATGGGGCAGAAAAACTGTTTTTAATGTTGTGTTTCAAAAAAATAAAACAAGCTAAAGAAAAAAACACTAGATCACTTATAAAACCACCCACCACGATAAATTTAGGACAAATTTAGGAATATTTTAGAAAACAATACCACATTTTAAAATTCTATTTAGAAATTCCCACAATATTGGAATTATAATGGAACCATGAAATATTTAGAAAGGCCAAGTGACTATGTATTTCACTTGAATAATACTGTATTTTAAAAGGTCTTTGATTATGCTCTGTTACACCTTTATATACTCCTTTAAATAATAAAGAAAACGAGAGAAACACCTCTCTGGCTGAGTTCTCAGAAAACAATTCCAAATAAAGCAAGGTCACAAATAAACCAAACATAAAGTAAACAGTATAGTAGTTCCTAACTGCATTCCTATTATCTTCTGCTATTCAATTTTTTTTTTTTCATTTGTAGATCCTACAGTTATGGGACATCATAAAAATTACAGCTGAAGGGTCGCTTTCTTCCTTTTCTTTATAAGCCCTGAAGGTATATTGTCTTCATACCTGGGAATTTTTCTTCTGAGCACTCATTGGCAGAAACAAGTATGCCGGGATCATTGATCAACAAGATTGGCTCTTTAGTTCCTTGTTCATATAGTAAAGAATGTTCACGGGTCAGTGATTTGCAGGAACTGTAACTTTTCAAACTGGTGGATCTGTTCTCAGAACTTAATTTTCTGTGTAGCAGAGATTTAGGTTCAGAGTGGACATGGTTTTCCACAAAATTTTTGCTGTCATTATTTGCTATACTTTCCCCTGTTAAACAAGCTCTTTCATTCTCATATGATACACTGGATATGACTGGCATTTCTTCACCTTTCAGCAGAGATGTCTTCCCATCTATTTTGTCAGACTTATTTGAGCACTGTAGATCATTATTAGTTTGAACTACACAGCTGTCTGTCATGTAGCAGCTCTGTGATGGTTGTCTATAGGAATGTGGGTCAGAAATTGAAAAGCTCTTTGTGAGTTCAGACTTCTGCAGTGCACTGAAATCTTCAACGCTTGAGACAGCTGACATTTGGCGGCCCATAAAGATAGTTGCTGTATGATATAGTCCTCTTGACATGGCTGTGCTGGCATTAATTCCTGACTGCCTTGCTTCTGGAATCATCTGAAAATAGTTGAAAATCAAGGAAGTATTTTCTTTTCTTTTTTTCATTATTATTATAATAGATAGGAATTATTTGAAAAATATACCTTTAAAAAAAGGTTAATAATAATGCATTAAACTTCTACGCCATCAGATTTTCAATGACTTTGGGTGGCTGACAAAAAAATTACAATAACACAAAAATAAAGAAAAAAAGATGACAAGGGGGATGAAGTAAGGGCTCTCCAATCCAGTGAACACAAGCAGTACATAGAATCCAACATGCATTGCCAGGTTAAGTTTCAGATGTGCTCTGAAGGGGTTAGCAACATAGCTAGCAATAGGTCAGCACACATTCACTGTGTGACAAAGTACTACCTGGAAGAAATTTATACTACAGATGTGCAAATTATTCTAAGCAGAAAAAGTTTCAAGTTCAGTAGTTTTGAATCATACTTACAATAAAACCTGGTTATTTTGAAAATTATTATTTCAATTTGCAATTTCTGTGATTGTTTTGTTATTTTGGGGTTTAGTTAACTTTCTTTCTTAAGCCCAAACAACAGCAGGAGCTAGTTAAATTATCATTGATAAGGAATGCCAACATGCTGGGGGGAAGGGCGGAGTAATGTAAACATGTCAGAAGACTAGTTTGGAATTGGCTTTACTACTACAGAGGGAGGACCAGGATATAGTAACCAACCAATTCACACTAATTACTGCTCTATTACTGAGATTTGCTGAATGCTTCAAGCACCTCCCCCATAGCAGTATTTTTGCAATGTCAACTTTGCTTAGTTTTAAGGGAGCTTAAGGCTTCACTAGTTAGAGAAACAAAAAAGACTTCCCTTTCCCTCCCTGAGTTTTCAGTTCCACAAATGATAGAATTAAGTGTCTGAAATCTTGTTGGGTATAGGAATCCAGGACTCACCCTGAAAAGTTAAAACACCTTTTCCCCTTTCCCTCAATATGAAAAAAATATTTGCTTCAATTAGGGAAAATTAATTCTTCCAATGAGACCTGTGTACCTGGTTGATAGCACAACAATACTTGCTGGGCGGAAGAAGGCGGAGCCTCCTCGCTGACAGACCATAGATCGCATCTCTCTGTGGCTATGGTCAGTGCTCTTTCGTTGGAGAGCCCTGATCATTACGATTAGGGGCTGAAGCTGCCTTGGAGGGGCGGTGGAGTAAGGGGAAGCCGCAAGCCAGGTTGAGGAGAGCCACATCTCCCCCCCTGGGCTTGGTCTCCCCCCCCCAAAGATAACTGCAGCAGTGGTTTAAAATGGCCACCCCAAAGAGGAGGACTCAGCTGGATTAAGATTTGTGCAGGAGGGAAGAAAGAGGTGGATAACATTTGAACCGGGACAATTGGGCAATGCAACTAAACAAAAGTACCCCGGGATTAAGGTAACATGGAATTTTTAAGAAAAGAAAAGTAGAGCAGCGAAATTACAAAGGGACAGGAAAAAAAAAAAGAAAATATTTCTGACAGCTAAGCGGGACTTTGAACCGGGAAAGAAAGAAGCCAGAACTAAAGATTTAACTAAATTGGACTAAAATATTTTGGCAGTAAACAGGCATAAAATAAAGCTGGACTAAAGATTGTCAAAAAATAATAATAATGAAGTTCATAAATTGGAGACTGGACTGTGTTGGAATACTGAGGAAAAACCCTAAATAAAAAAATAGGGGGAAAAGATGAAGACTTTGTATAATGGAGAGTGCCACCTTTTGACAAAAACTTGAGCTCAAACAAGGGAAAGCATCCTGTTTCTGAATGAATTTGTGTGGATATAATATTAAAGAAATATTGAAACAAAGTAAGAATCTTAGAAAGTGAAAGCAGAACTAGAATAAAGAAAAAAGCAAGGAAAGACTGACTGTGTTTTTGATTGATTGATGTTTTTGGTATAGACCCTGGGCTGGAACAATTGAGAACTTTAGAAAGTTGAAAGAAGAAAGAAGGAAAGTAAAAGTGGTTGTTGTTTTTTTGTGGACTTTAACGATCATAAAATACAAGAGTGTGTAATGATGATATCTCTTTGGGAATTAAAAATGGAACTTACAAATATGAGAGAATTACTACAGGAAAGAGGCGAATCACTTTGCTCTGTGTTAGAAAAAATGGAAATGGCGATTGAAGAAGAAAGAGCTTCAGAGGAGGAGGAGTCGACTCAAGGAGAAGACATCTTAAATAGACAATTAACACAAAGAACGCTACAAAGAAGTGGGGAAAGAAGGAAGGTTAAAAAGTTGAGACTTAAGCAGGCAATCAAAAGGGGGAATACCTGTGAAGTCGGCAAAGACAGAAAGACCCAGCAGAAAAGGGGAAAGGAAGATATTAAGAAAGAGAGGGATATAATGAGAAAAGATATGGGGAAAAGAGGGGGAGGAGAAGCAGTAAGAAACAGGTGCATGAAATAAAGAAATACAGAAATAGCAAAATGTTGAAAAGAAATGGTTTTTTCAGAGATAATGGTTGATGAATTAAAAAGGGGATTCTGCAGGGTGACAAGGGGTAATAAGAATATTTCTGCAATTAAAAATATTTAGAAAATAGGGTAATATAGATATTGATAACTCTTATTAAAAAAAATTAAGGGGGAAAATATGCTGCGGAATCCAAATGAAAAGATGTAATGATTATTATTGTAACTTCTTAAAAATAATGGTTTATTGAGAATCAAGATGAGGGAATAAAGGTATATTTTAACTACTGAGGTTTCACACTCCAAGCAGTAAAAGGGGGGAAACCTATACTTGTTTTTTTCTTTAGTGTTAAAACTTGTACTAATTTAGAATTTATAAAAAGAATGTGTAATGGAAAGGGAATATGACAGACTAAAGAACCAACTAAATTAATAAGTCAATATAGACTATTAAAAGCAAGGAGAGACATTAGCAACCTATTATTATTATTATTATTATTATTCAAACAAATATTGTTTATTTTTATTTTTAAAATAAATATTAAAGGATTATATTTGAAATAATTGAAATGAAACAAAAAGATGTTTCGATTGAGATTAATGAAAGAGGCAGAATTAATGGGTTTGTTTCTCTCCTTACTGAAAATTTGGAATGGAAAAGGTAATAATAGAATTAAGTATGCATATATGAATGTATAATTGCTGCCATATTTGTATGTAAAGGAGATGAGCCGGAAATATGTTGTCCACTAAAAAGAGATTTTTGTTTTTATGTGAAAAACTGAATAAAATTTGTTAAAAAAAAATACTTGCTGGGCTGCACATGTATGCATACATGTACATTATTTGAGTGCTTTCATTTTAAATCAAGCTTCATTTTTAATGGCTTAATCCTGTCTTCCCAGGCTCATGATCTAGAAAGGCAGAGGGACAACAGTGAGGGACAGAGTGAGAAGGTAAGGGCTTATTGATCAAGAGAGGTGGAACCATCAGTCAAGTGTCCTTAACACTTTAGCAAGCAGGTTTTCATGGAAAATGCCGGAATCACTGCAAGCAACAGGACCCCAATAAGCATGAACTGCATTCCAGACACATGGTTTACTTGAAGACGGGTTCATGCCTTTTACCTCTTTTCACCTTGAACTGGTACAGTTGCTACAAGAAGGTACTGGTTCAGAATGAAGAACTTTAGTTACTTACATGAGGGGAGCTATTAGGGTAGCTAAACTATATGACTTCAAGATCCCAAACAATGGAAACAATATCTATATAGCAGTTATCATCCATTGTTTATCAGCATTAGCTACATTGCCTCCAAACAGAAAATGAGTGGGATGGTTTTGGCAGGATGGAAACCAACATAAAAATTACCCCTTTGGCACCATGACTGTTGTCAGCTTTCATGAGGCTATATGAATGCTACCTCAGCATCTCATCCCCCAAGGAGTCCATCGTACAAGGGAACTTTATCTAATATTAGCACTTCTTGATTATATCCAACAAACCAGCTGCATTAGACAAGTCTTCTGTTCCAGAAGATCATAAAGGTAATTTTTGACATATGACCTTAATGCCTCTCTGTTACAGTTGTAAGTAATGACAATTAATCATGACCAACCCAATTTTGCAATATTTTGGCCACAGTTGTTAAGCAAATACTACAATTGTTCAGCAAACCCATTGTTGACTTTGGGTTGGATTTTTTTGCCAAAAAGTAGAATTAATTGCTGTTGTCAGCAAAAATGTCATAAATTGCAGTCATAGGATGCTGTAAATGGATGTAAAAACAGGCTGGGTTACCAAGTGCCTGAAATGCCTGTGGTTACCAAGTGCCTGTGGTCACGTAACAATGGAGGTGAGGGGAGGAGGGGAGGCAGCAGAACTTTGGAACTGGATTGTAAGTACCTTGAGAGGGAGGGTCTATCATAACTTCACTGATTGCTAAATGACTGGTTTAAGTTGAGAGCTACCTGTATACAGCCAATAGACCTTTCTGATGCTTGGACAGTCTTGTTGACTTCAACTTTAGTGTCTTGCTTATGTTAAGCTTCAGGTGGATTTAAAATGAAAACAATCACCACTAGTTTGGTTGATTTGTTTAGTTTTGATATACACGAGTAGTTTTGTACATGATTCTCTTAACATTGAGTTCTGATTGCATTTAAAAATAAAAAGTCAATTCAACAGACATGATAGGGCTGTGCTGAATTTCCTGAATGATCTGCAGAGTCCTAATATGTAAACAGCTCTGCCTAGTGTCTAGAATACAAGCTGCGAAGGAAGAATGATCAAATTCTATCCACCTATGCTTAAAGTGTTTTTGTTTCTGTATGCTGTTGTTTGGATCCTAGCCAGAATTTGTAAAAGCTATCACCGTCCTACAGAGGATTAATAAATTTAAAACGAACAGTGAAAAATCATAAACAATTCACAGTATAATACTATAATTGTAAAGTACTCTATGGCTTTTGGATATCTAATGTAAAATATTTAAAATAAAAACCATTCAGATAAATATTTTAGGTGTCATTATATCAAAATGGACACAGGGAAAATTAGTATTTTATATATGAACAAAATGAATGTTTATATTATACAAGTCTATTTATCTAGGTCAAGGTTGGTGAAGCTCTTTGCTCTGTATATAAGGAAGAATGGTCTAAATTCAAGGTTTCAACACCCTTTTAATCTACAACCAGGGAAAAAGAAATCTATAACCTCAGATTAACAACTGCTAATGCAATGAAGAAAACCTTCCTGCCACTATTAAACACATCTCCCCCTCACACACACATACACACACATGAAATAGTGTTGCCTCTGTTTCTTTCCTGATAAGAGTCTTAAATACCAAACAGTTAAATGCATAATAACATTTACTGGCAGCAAGACAGCCTGCTTAGCTGATACATAAAGCAGGTAAAAGGAGGAAAAGTTAATTTCTTGGCTGAATGATTCCATCGGTAGCTATAGGGCAAACTAGAAAGTCTTTCAGTAAAGTAGCAGTTGATTCTTCTATCAATCTGCAGCACACATACTCTTCCCAAGGAATGCATTAAATATGAAAATCATATCCTGTTATCATCTGTTTCCAGCTTTCAGCCCAGTAAGCTTTCCTTAATGAATGTTGTAGCCTAAGGGACAAGCATGCTGTTGGCTTTTCTGAATAATGGAGTGATGCTACCCATTTTGGCTTATTACAATATCGACTAGCTGAGGGGGTTTAACATATAGTCACAAGTGACTACTCTTGCCAGCATGCTCCAAGTTATTACAAGATGTTTTTAGTCATTTCATCTAAAAGAGCTTTCCTGCTTTTAGGGAAGAAAAACAGTTCTGGTCTTGAACTGTATCATTTATATGGAGATAGGAGGGGGGATTAGAAGGCTGCATTACTACAGATATATAGCAGAATATATTTGAGTATTACTTGTCGGCTTTGTCCGTGGTTTAGGTATGCAATCTTTGCTTTTTAGAGGGAAAAGGAAGGTCAAAATGTATGAAATTAAAAATTCAACATATTTCAATTAAAATTTACAAGACACTATTTTGAGTCTAGAACTTAAGAATGAATGGTAGATGAATGGTACTAGGTAGATGAATGGTACTAGGAAGTGAGGGTTTCAATTCATGTTTATTAATTTCACAATGATTTTGCTTGTTACCTAAAATCATATTGTTTAAATGGCATGTGAGAACAGCAACACAAGCTTTACAACCAATTTTTTTTTAAAATGCAAAAACCTCAATTGATTGGGTCTATCATTCAATCTACCTTCTATTCCACTGATTCAAAAAGAAACATAAACATACCTGAATTTTCTCATTAAAATAATTGGAAAATAAATAACAAAGAAAAATAAGGAATATAAACTAAAAAGAAAGAAAAAATAAAATAAGGAAAATAAGGAAAATTGTTTCACATGCCTTAAGAATGTTCACTTACCTGATGTTTAGTAGCACCTCTCATTTCATGTTTAAACGTATCTTTTCTCTCAACTAACAGCTTATTTTTAATTTCTTTTTCATATTCTGCCTAGTAAAAGGAGATATTATAAATAATAATTAAGCATTCAGGTTGTGATGTAGCCAAAGTTAAACAGATGTGTCACTTATTTCAGTGGAAACCAATTAAGCATATGTTTTACTTCTTCCTTTAAATTAAGTATTTTATATGATTGGATTGTTTTGATGTAGTATATGTAGTATACAGTACAAAAATGAACATGTTTAAAAGCATTCTGAATAACATTCTCATGTAAATATTCTACATATATTAATTTTAATCATATTGAATATTGCATTTACCCCAAAATGTAATGTTATTAATATGAGATGATTAACCAGAAAAAAAGATTTTACAGAACAAAATTCACATGCCTCCATTACCATGTTCTCAAAAATTTAAAACAACTCTCCAATTTTAAAGTTAATCTATTTGTAAAATAATTAAGCTTACATTTAGATATAGTATATAAAATGGTTCCAAAGCTAAAATAATGTAAATGCTTCCATTTTATATAAAATCAACTATACTAAATTAGTCAAGTTTTTCATTAGTTCTTCATATCTTCTAAATAAGCAGCCACAGCCAAGCTGTATATTTTTATACTCTTTTACGTAAGAATTATCTGAAACTACACACAAAGTTTTAGAACTTTGTTAATTGCTTCTTCAGAGTTTTTAACAAATTCTTTGTTTTAGGTAATATGTACATAATAGACTTTTCTTAAATTCAAAGTGCGTAAGAACTATGAATTAAAATGTGTACATTTGGCAAAAGGCAGCAAAGGTGATAGTACAGTAAATTCAGCATAAGACCTTCTTCTAAAACATGAGCATTTGAGAACAATATAATAGTTATGAAAAATCACTTGCTGCACATGGAGAATAACAAGAATTTGAAATAAAATGAAATATCAAGAAGTATTTTCAGTATATTCTTTTAGATCCTGTTTCACTGACATCACAATCGAATTACATATTTAACAATTAAAGTTCAGGTACATAAATAATGTTGCAAGAGATATTCAGGACCCTTAAGCTCTCCAGCCCTCCCTCATTTCCAAAGCTTTAAGAAGATGAAAACAGGACCCTACTGCTCTTTTTCCCTATCAACTTATGTCACATAAGATTTCCTGAATAGGCACGTCAGGCCCCTTCAAAGTTATTTATCACAGATAAAACACAACATACCTTTAGCTTTTGAAGAGACTCTGATCTTGAAGCAAACTTCCTAATGTGAGCTTCAATGCAATCAAATTCTTTTAATAAATCTTGGTTTCGGAGCAGAGAGTTCTTCTGCCGTTCACATATTTCATTTAAATATTTTTTTAGATTTGTATATTTCAATTTAGTTCTACACAGAGATAAACAAAAGTCAGTCATAAACTGTACCATCTTATTTTTGTAAAGAGAAACATTTTTTAAATACACACAGGTTTATCAAATGAATATTTAAAGTTAATGGTTGACAGAACTATAAAAATGAATCATAATCAATGTTTGGGGTTATTCATTTTTTACTTTAAAAGTACAAATTTATTTCTTCAACAGCAAATTCAGGACAACAATTTAAAATTTCTCCAACAAAGTATAAACCAATTATAATCTGAGTGTAGATGCAGCCCAGGATTATCTCACTTGTCCCTCCCCTTTGCTTGCTTGTATATGTTAAAGGAAGAAAAGCACCATTGCAAACAGGGTTAGGTCTAAATGAACCATCTCTGCAGTAGTCAAATTATACATGCACTAGCTGAACTCCTAAAATAGTACCTTCTTCCTTTGATTCTTTCAACCCAAAATTTCTACAGAACATACTGATAGCATCCATCTGCCATTGTAAAAGAATAGTTATTAAATCCTTCACACAAGGTATTCTAGATTACTTATAAGAGCACATGCAAAACATTTTCAAACTAGTAAACACCTGCATTTTTTCCCAGGCTCACAAAGCTGCTTCAGAAACTACTTCTGTGATTC